GCTTATTAGGCGTCACCCAAATCTTACTCCAATCTAGACCTTTTTTAAATATAATATTCCAGTGAGTAGTAATAGCAAGTACACATTTAGATTGAAGAAGGGCATTTAAAACCTCGTTACGCTTGCGAGGCTGAGTACGGAGGACCCGTGAAGTGAAGGGAATACCTAATGAAACCCAGCAACTGTAAACAAGAGTGAGTCTCCTCGTGGGACACACACACACACGTGACCCGACTGACACTGAACACACGCAGAGACTCAAACCAATAAGAGCCGCAAATTGGAGGAAATGGGATCTGAGATTACATTTTTAGCTATCTATTAAAATCGTGCATGGAGTGAGTTCATCTTTCTCACTGACCTGAACACTGACGACATCAGTCATCTAGCTAGAGCCATGTCTACTATAATAATAACAACGTATTTTTTAAAATCACCGTAAAACCAATATTGCAGTATTTATTATGAACGATTTATCAGTGCACACTGCACAGCATTATTTGTTTAAATTCATGTTCCTCATAATTTTAAATCAGAATATCTTCCCCTCCTCTTGCAGTGACGTCATCTCTTCTCTGCTGATGAGGGCGGGGCTTAACCTGTCACTCACATGAGATCAGCCAATAGCAAACCACAACCGGCCAATCAATTCCCAACGGACAAAATCAAGCCCCGCCCACATTTGTTCTTGTCTGAGAAGCGTTTCACCCGGATATACGGAAAAATAAAGAGTGTACACATTTGTTAGCCTAATTTTAGCTTTACAAAACAGCTTGTTATGCTAATTGATATTCCAAACTGGTATTTCTTAAAATATTATTTTTATTTATTGTCGTAATTATAAACACACTTGTTTGTAGCACATATAGTTTTACTGTTTACTGAATTTTATTATTCTTAGGTATTTATACAGCGGCTAATGAATTGGAAGTCTTGCACATTCACAGAAAAATAACAACTTTCCGCCTTTATATATATATGGATATCTATTATATATATATATATATATATATATATATATATATATATATATATATATATATATATGTTATATATTATATGGATATCTGAACAGAATATTTGCTAAATGTAGCTAGTTAACCAACCGCTAAAACGGAAAACTTTTTATACATTTTGGCCGTTCATTTACACGACACTGAAAACGCAAACGTGTTTCCAATTGTAAGGTTTTGAAACCGATGCCTTTACTGTCATCTTTACATGTTAACTACAAAAACGTGAAGTTGTGTAAACGGTGACGTCGTACATCTGCATGTAACATGTTCGTGGATTGTCATTTTCGCAGATCAGTGTGAACGGGATCGTTTTGACAGCGCTGTCGTCTGTTTTTAGTACATCGCTGTTGTGTAAACCCTCAGAAAAGCTGAATGAGCTAATGAACTAAATTAATGGGATATTATTCTTATATGGGCTGAAGTTGCAACGCATTTAAATCTGCCCTTTTTCTTTAAAATCCCCTTGTGGTGCAAAATCCAGTTTTTAATGTTGTTTATATGTCTATGTGGTGTTTTTAATATGCTTTAAGACAAACCATGTGTAAGTTCATAAGTCGACAGCATTGCTGAGTATTTTCTCTTTAAAACTGCAGTGAACCAAAGACAGTCTCAAAAACACGGGTTGAAATCGCTGGTGTTTCTGACGTCACAAACGACCTTGTAACCAATCAGATCAACGTGTGATCGTCAACCAGTGGATCTCTGAGCTGAGTGAGTGAGTGGAGGCGGGGCTCATTTACATATTCATAGAACCGCGTATACTAAATGAGGCAAGGGTGTCGAGTTACATTCAAGATATTTTAAGGCATGACGAAGAAATAAACGTTTAAATAGCCTATGTAATTTTATTGATCAAAGATGAGTTTTAAGGGATACAATTATTGACTACAGGGGGATTTAAAAATGTTTCATTTTTACAGGGGAAAATTAAAAAAAAAACTGCGGGATTAAAAACTGGGGACACGGCCAATTTCAATCGAGATAAACACATAGGAAAGTCTTATTTGATAGTGATTATAGCGGATAACATTAGTGTAAGTGAACACACACCATCCAAACACCCATTGACTTGCATTAGGAAAAAAAAATCTGATAATAGGCTACATTAGTAACGTTTTGGGTGAATTGAGATTTGATAATGGTGAACATTTGATGCTAATCTGAAATGCCGTGGCCATGCTGGGTTAAATGAAAGCGATTTATTGCTTTGAGCTTTGCTGTAATGTTCTGAACGATGTCATGCACCAGCATGCTGATAATGTGCCATTCACATTAAATTATTGTTTCTTTCCTAAGGGCAAAAGATGCATCATGACTTTACAATGAGTTAAAAACGCGCTTTGCTTCCATCTAGTGTCGCTTTGAAGAACTGCATCTCGGCCAATGAAAATGTAATATACATTTGAGAAATTTGTTTGTAATAAAGCAGAATTTCCCTTAAAAAACATTAGTTATCTTATGATGTGTTTCACAGTTAACAAAATTACTCAATAGATATTTAACAATGTGTACATATTTGTGTTGGGTGTAGTTGTTTAATTTGACAGTGCCTGCGGACTTGATGGTCTGTCTCTGTGACTTTTTTTATTTTATTTGTATTTTTATTAAAAATAGCCACTGAAGACCTCTAAACACTTGTTGTTGTCTGTTATTGCTGTGTCTCTCACAGATAACGCGCTGGATGAATTCTCTGAGCTAATCTGTCACCTCCAAACGCAGCAGAGGAGAACCGAGAACTGAGATAATAACAGTGTGTGTGTGTGTGTGTGTGTGTGTGTGAGATGTTGTTCAGTCATGCAGGAGAGTCAAGAGCTCCAGCCTCATTTTATTGCTTTAGATTTTACAAAAATTACGTAAATATCCTATAATATGTGGAATCTAAAATAACGCTTAATCAATAGTGTGTACATATACACTCACCGGCCACTTTATTAGGTACCCCATGCTAGTAACGGGTTGGACCCCCTTTTGCCTTCAGAACTGCCTCAATTCTTCGTGGCATAGATTCAACAAGGTGCTGGAAGCATTCCTCAGGGAGTTTGGTCCATATTGACATGATGGCATCACACAGTTGCCGCAGATTTGTCGGCTGCACATCCATGATGCGAATCTCCCGTTCCACCACATCCCAAAGATGCTCTATTGGGTTGAGATCTGGTGACTGTGGAGGCCATTTTAGTACAGTGAACTCATTGTCATGTTCAAGAAACCAATTTGAAATGATTAGTGCTTTGTGACATGGTGGAAGTAGCCATCAGAGGATGGGTACATGGTGGCCATAAAGGGATGGACATGGTCAGAAACAATGCTCAGGTAGGCCGTGGCATTTAAACGATGCCCAATTGGCACTAAGGGGCCTAAAGTGTGCCAGGAAAACATCCCCCACACCATTACACCACCACCACCAGCCTGCACAGTGGTAACAAGGCATGATGGTTCCATGTTCTCATTCTGTTTACGCCAAATTCTGACTCTAACATCTGAATGTCTCAACAGAAATCGAGACTCATCAGACCAGGCAACATTTTTCCAGTCTTCAACTGTTCAATTTTGGTGAGCTCTTGCAAATTGTAGCCTCTTTTTCCTATTTGTAGTGGAGATGAGTGGGACCCGGTGGAGTCTTCTGCTGTTGTAGCCCATCCGCCTCAAGGTTGTGCGTGTTGTGGCTTCACAAATGCTTTGCTGCATACCTCGGTTGTAACGAGTGGTTATTTCAGTCACTGTTGCCCTTCTATCAGCTCGAACCAGTCTGGCCATTCTCCTCTGACCTCTGGCATCAACAAGGCATTTCCGCCCACAGAACTGCCGCTCACTGGATGTTTTTTCTTTTTCGGACCATTCTCTGTAAACCCTAGAGATGGTTGTGCGTGAAAATCCCAGTAGATTAGCAGTTTCTGAAATACTCAGACCAGCCCTTCTGGCACCAACAATCATGCCACGTTCAAAGTCACTCAAATCACCTTTCTTCCCCATACTGATGCTCGGTTTGAACTGCAGGAGATTGTCTTGACCATGTCTACATGCCTAAATGCACTGAGTTGCCGCCATGTGATTGGCTGCTTAGAAATTAAGTGTTAACGAGCAGTTGGACAGGTGTACCTAATAAAGTGGCCGGTGAGTGTAATTCTTGTAACACTGTTTCTAATCTGTGTGTTGAATTACACTTTACTATAGTATAAGCTGATCATTTGAGAATAGAGGGGTTTTAAATGGAAAGAAATTCGGAATTGTCCTGACTGGGAATTGAGTTTGAGAGAGAGAGAGAGAGAGAGAGAGAGAGAGAGAGAGAGAGAGAGAGAGAGAGAGAGAAGAGAGAGAGAGAGAGAGAGAGAGAGAGAGAGAGAGAGAGAGAGAGAGAGAGAGAGAGAGAGAGAGAGAGAGAGTGAGAGAGAGAGAGAGAGAGAGAGAGAGAGAGAGAGAGAGAGAGAGAGAGAGAGAGAGAGAGAGAGAGAGAAAATTACTAAATAGTATTATCATTTTTTTTATATATATAATATATAAAAACATTCTTAATTAGGCTATATAATTTAATAAACTTGTATAAACTAAATATATACAATAAATTGTACCGTAAAAAATAACATTTATAAAGTAGCATGAATAAAGTTATATATAATATATTTCTGCATATAAGTAGCTATTACTAAATTATATAAAAGTAATTGTAATATAAATTATAACAAAAAATAACATTTATAATTATATAATTTTATATAGGCCTATATTTATAAAATTAAAAATACAAAATAGAATAAATATTATTATAAACAACAAAAATAATATTTTACAATTAAATAATTTTAATAAGATATAACATAAAATAACATTTATAAAAACTTTAATAAAATGATATATAATATTTTTCCTTTATTTAAAAAAAATAACCAATCCAAAAATAAATTAAATAATCAAACAATATAATATAATATAAAATTGTGTTGTTGTGAAGAACTGTATGGTGCGTAGTCAGCACTTTATGGACGTTGTACAGTCGATGAGTAGGACAGCGCCACCTGGCGGAGGGTGTCATTACGTCTCTGTATTTTCTTCTCTTCTCATTCCGCTCCTTCCAATGATAGAGCGAGAATGCGGTCAGTGAGATTGTGTGCCTTCGCGGGGGTTCAGCGGGTCACCGGCGACTCAAATGGCCTTTAAGCGAAGACGCGTCGACATCTGAGTGTGTTTAAAGGAGAGATATGATGATGACGAGCCCGGGGGCGCGCGACACAGCACGCGCTTTACCGCAGTGGATGCGCATGTATTTCTACGGGATGCACGGAGTCACACTGGACATCCTTCTGTCCTCCGCGCGCCACTTTCTGGATGAACACGACCTCACACTGCTGGGATTCTCCTCTCCGTACCTGTGCATCGCGCACTCCGTCACGCATCTGCTCCTGGAGAAGATCTACCAGCAGAAGAGATGCTTCCACGGGCGCCCGGCCGTTTTCCACCTCGTCTTCTACCCGTCCCTGTACATCTGCCTGCAGATTTTAATCGGGAATCTGGTGACCTGCACGGAGAACATCAGAGTGGTGTCCATCACGCAGCTCGTGGTGCATTACATGCTCGCTTTATACTTCTCAAACATCTTTCATAGAGGCGTCTTGCATCTGCGGTATCAGGAAAACAGGGTGTCGTGGAGACCCGCGCGCGCGAGCCGGTTACCCGGACTCCTGCGCTTCGTGTTCTTCGGGATGCACGGGTTTCTGGATGAGGTGGTCTTCACGTCTGTGTTTAATCTGTTCGAGAAAGAGGACCGGAGCTTGAAGGGTCACACATCCCTGTGGTCCTTCTTCATGTATGGAAGCTGCAGCTTCGTGGTGGAGAAGCTTTACCTGCACCTGCACTTCAGGAGAGGATGGAGAACCTGGAAGAGGCTTCCCATCTACATCTGCTTCATCTACGCCTGGGAGTTCAGCTGGGGCTTCGCTCTCAGGCACTTCGGCGCATGTTCCTGGGATTATTCCCATTATCCCCTTAATTTCATGGGACTGGTGACCTTGCTGTATCTTCCTGGATGGGTTTGTCTGAGTCTGTATCAAGACGTCTTGTCTAATGCTCTGATGAGGGTTGTGTGTGGTGATGACGAGGACAAGGACAGATTGCATGTTGGACCAGGAAAAAAAGGCATTTGAGTGTTTGATGCTTGAGAAAGCTTTTATTTATTTATTTATTAATATACAGTAGTCAACATTTCATTAATCAAGTTCATTAAAGTTGTCCTAAAACGAGAACCGGTATTTTTCAAAATTCATGTATAACTTTGATGAAAGGTTTTGATCCATATGTTGACTACTGTATATATATATATATATATATATATATATATATATAAAGGGGAGGCCAGGCTATAGTTGTCATTTCAGTGAATATCTAGTTTTGAGAGTCAGTTTCTGTATAGACACACACACCATAAAGCTATCCTTTTAAACGGGGCATGTTGTCACACTGCATGGGGTGTGTGTGAACCTGACTTCTGTCAGGCGATCAATTTAAATAGTCACATAATTGTGAAAAATCATGAAACCATAAAAATGTGTAAGCTAACATAGATATAATTAAATATATAGGCTATATATAGTATATTATTAATTTTATAGTAATTAATAGTTGTTATAATTGTATATAGCCTAATAATAGTATAATATATATATAGTTAATTAATTATTAAAATTAATAATAATAATTAATTATTTAAAATGGCAACATTTTACATGACAGCTTGCCCTGAAAAAAAAGGGACAACTTATTATAATGTTGTTGTTTTTTTGCTTGCAGGACATAATTTTACATATATATATATATATATATATATATATAGGGCTGTCAAATCGATTTTTTTTTATTTCTTTATTTTAGCTTTTTCTTTCTTTTTTATTAAGAAAAGCATCTCAAGCACAGTATACAAGCATCAGATTGTTACATAATTAAATAAAGGGAAAAAATAAACAAACATAATAAATGCTCAAATGCGGATGAACATATAACTCACAGTAATATGTATACATAAACAACTAAGGGCTGTCAAATCGATTAATCGCATCTAACATAAAATATATATTATATACATATATACTGTCTGTATACATATATATATATATATATATATATATATATATGTGTGTATGTGTGCACAGACATGCACACATTCATATAAGCCTATATAATATATAAATATAAAAATATATACACACAAACTTTTATGAAGGATGCGATTAATCGATCTGACGGCATGAGTTGTTGAAGTTTCTCGATTCTCCCCACTCTATTTGAATGTTATTTAATTTTTAAATGTCATATGATATAACTTTTAAATGTTATATTGATAATTCACCTTCATGGCCATTTGAAATCTCTGAAAAGCCCAGGATGTGCACACAAGGCCAGATACACACAGGTACACATCGCTGGTTCTCAGGGGCACATTTGTACCAGCGAGACGGAGAAACCCTCAGAGAAACAAGCGTACAGTAGCTGCATTAGCAGCGTTCATTTGTGTTTAAAATACACCTTATGAACTGCCATTACACACAGCAGGATTTCACAAATAACACTGGGCTTTGATGGTTATTGAATATTGGGCGTGTGTATGAATGTTTTAGTGCCGGATGGGGTTTATGAGGACAGTCTCCTCGTAACTGCACGCGTCGGGAGTTTTTGCATGTCGAGATTCAAGCATCTGATGGTGCAAGCCGTAGCAAAAGTGATTGCGAGAGATAAACTGACTCCTTTAGCTTTAAACAAGACGAGAGCAACTGAGTGCCTTCATACGAACACTTTTAGGCAGCTGGACTTCAGTAATCGAGAACTATTACATCCATGTGGAAACAAGTTCAGGCATATCTCAGTTTGTCTTCTGTGAAAACAAGGCGTTGAGATGAAGACGATATGAGGAATAAAGAAAACACACTGGTTATAGAGACCTCTATGGCAGCTAAAGCCGGGCGTTTATGAACACAAATAGAGACTTTATCCAACTTTATTAAACATATGAGCACCGTACACTGTGAATAACTACTGTGATCCCGTCGTTTGGGGATTTATGACTGAGTGTATCCGTATATCTTGTGTGTTGCTCTTTGTGAAAAAGATTAACTGCCAAAGTTTAATAACTTCAGCCTCAAAACTCTGTGACTTTAGCAACTTTTTAGAAAGATCCTGTGAGAGGAATAGACACGCTTTCTATGATTATAAGATTATTACAATATTTTTCCTTCATGCATGTGGTCACTTGTTGATGTATAAGACTTTCGGCAGCTGCTCAAATGAACTGTTTTGTACTTTAAGAGAAAATAAAAATAAAACACTTTGTATAATTCCAGGAATGAGATGTGTGATTATTATCATTTTCATGTCTGTCTATGTAATTGGCACTACAGCTAGATCACTTTATGAATGTTAGTCTGATAGAAATCATTTAATGCACTTTTTTTTTTTATTGTAGCACATCTTCATGGTTTCAGTTCTGTCTCTATGCACTCATTCCACTGATCAAATTAAAGAGATGAAATATGACGCGTGTGTGTCTGATGTGTTGTTGCAGTGACTGTTCTCAGGGCTGTTACTGAAGGGACTTGAATACTTTCCATTTCTGACATCAACAAACAAAACAGCCACTGTGTGATTCTCGTCCCGTGAGACTCAACAAGACCCAACTGTAAGAGATGATCAACTCAGTGGTTGTGATTGCATCTGTATTCTGACCGAATGTCTCGATTTGTAGAGGAGATTACTTGTTGTGATTTCAGACCTTGACGTGTTCACCTCTCTTTAGTGTGTATTGTTGCTGTTTGAGCATGAAAACGTCCCTCCAGTGGGAGTTATTCTCTATATCAGTGTCAGTGTTTCTGAACTCCCTGAAACGCCTCCATTGTAGTCTTGAGTTTTCCGGGAACGAACACGTCACAATATTCTTCATTTAAGTAATTAATACGCAGAATAAAGGGGCGGGGCCTGGTTGAGTTATTTAGTAGTGTGTTGAAACTTGCGTGTTGCGTCCCAATTCGCCTACTTATACTATGCCCTAAAAGTATGTCGTTTTTGTGAAGAAAAAGTACATACTTTTGAGTGTTTAGCAGAAAGCTTTGAGACAAACTACTTCGTCATAATCGCATCTTTAACGGATCGCTCTGTCGCTTAGTTACATGTTCCTGTCAATCATCCTGTCACATTTAAAATCTTCCACATTCAATTTAAATTTACCATTCCTACCATTTCGGAGAGAAATGAAGCCGCACTTTGATCTACCAGTCGTGGGTCTTTCATGCGGAGACTCTTCTCATGTGTTTGCATTAGGGCTGTAGTCAAGACCACCTTTGTCGAGTCCAAGACCAGGACTAGTCGAGTCCAAGTCAAGACCGAGTCCAAAAAGGTTTGAGTCCAAATCCGAGTCAAGACCGAGTCCAGGACAGGAAAAAAGTCTTGACATTAAATGACAATCATTTTGGGTTATTATTTGTTGATCTAAAAGCAAAAGCAGTGCCACAACACCCAGGATTTTTAAGTATAGACATTCCCCTTGACATTGTATAATCTTCTAATCTAAAGAAAAAAGAATGATGACATATGGTGATACCTCATAATAGCAGTGTTAGAACTGATACACACACCAACCCACTACTATTACCACTGCTAGGTAGCCTACTGAGCATTTGAGCAACTAAATGACAATATAGCTTCACTCCAGTAAAATATATCTGTGGTAATTTCTTCACGTTAAACCGAACTTTTATTTTGACGGGTTTCTGAGTGTATCTGACGATGAAATGCTGAAGATAAACGTGTACTTGTGTATGTGTAGTACACGAACCTGCGGCACTCACTTGCAGAGACTCGCTGAAAAATCAGATTTGATAGCAGTCTTTAATATTCACAGTGACTAGTCCATATAGCAATTTCATATTATGATTGGCAGTGAATAGACAGATCTGTTATTTCAGCTAAGCGCCGGTATTGCAGTAGCATATAGTAGAAAAGAAATCACACATGCGCAGGTCGTACTTGTAAATGACGGGCACTACAATCTGCGGTAATCTGCAGAGGTTTCTGTGGAAGTCTGCGGGTGCATACTACAATAATACGTTACTGGGAACATAAAAAAGACACCTGGACTCGGTAGAGACCAAAAGCCATATTTGGCAAGACCAGTGGCCGAGACCGAGACAAGTCCGAGTCCGAATACCAGCGAATAAATATCTTTTCGTCAGGATACTGATCATTAATCTCTCAAAACCATTTATCTTAACCTCTCTTCTTAACTGTCGGACTCGCACATCCGCCATGTTTGTAGTGTTTTAACAACTAATGTTAAATAATGTTCAAGAGCTCAACTAAAGCAAACACTGATCATCATAATGGTGACTTGTTCCTTCAGTGATTCTGCTTGTTAACAGCAGCTGTTGTTCAAAACAATTCTAGTTTTGAATACTATTTAGGATGGAGAGTATGCAAATTGGGATGCAGCAGCGGTTATGGTAAGGGGTGGGACATTTCCCAAGCACGCTTGAAGGGCTTGACCAATGACAACACACTGCTCCAGCTGACCAATCAGAGCACAGTGTGCTTTTCAAAAGGAGGGGCTTCATAGAGACAGGAACTAAACAGAGCGTTACTGACAGACTGGGAAGAGAGGAGCCGCAACAATGGAGAATATGAGGAAAATAATCAACATTCAAGCATGAAAACCTGTTCTAGTAGAGCCTGAAAACTAATTTAGGTCTTAATAAAAGGGCATAATATAGCCTCTTTAAGGCTGGGTTGCAATGCGTCATTGTTAACATGTGACATTTTTCCTAAGACCAAAAAAAAATGCATGGCTACTATTCAAGGTTTGTCTAAGGACATTTTCTTAAGTAGAGCATAAAGCAGCAACTCTGCTTTAATCCGCTTTAGTGTTTAACAGGGCTTTACTAAATGCCCTCGCTCTTTCAGCCCGAGTTTAAAACATCTGCTGTTCATTAATGAGCAGGGTGCAGGAATCCGTTTCTTCCCTTGTGAATCATTAGTAATTTGTTTAGAAATGGCTTCAGTCGGTAATGAAAGGATGCTTTACGAAGTGTTTCTCAGAGGTGCCAAATTGCAGCAAATAAGCATTTCTCACTCTCAACACCCAAACACAATATTTACATGTTTTATTGAAACATTTACATGATATGTCAAGTT